CATCTGCATTGGATCCCCAGTAACACACACACACACACACACACACACACACACACACACACAGAGGCAACTCAGTGTTCTTTGTGCTGAACCAGTGAAAAGATTAGCTTCAAAGGAAGTGGTACTGTTTATCTAGCCTATGGTCATCTTCGCTTTCCTCTGCCTTACTGATGTGTTACTGGTGAATCTATTGCTACAAACCACTGGCTCATGTGAACATTCTCTCTGGAGTGCTGTTGTGTACATGCAGTCAGATAGTGTCTGGCAGTATCTCCAAATACTGGCTGATGCTTGCTGTTGGGCAGAATATCAGCATATGCCCATGTAGGCTGTGCTTCCTTCTTCCTCATAGGTTAAAGGCTGGTTTCTAAAAGAGTCTCACACTGTTAATCTGGAAGCTGTAGTACCTTTTATGGCATTTTGTTGGAAATCCTACAGTATCATTTACCCTGTAGCAACAGACCTGCTTAGGTTCAGGATCTGGTTGGGCAAGCATTTCTACTGCCTTGGAATTACCCACTGCTGCTCTTGACTGTTCCTTGGAGCTTTGGTTTTAGCCTCTGAACTTTGTCAAGAAAAGTAAGCTAACTAGGCATGGTGGCACATGCTTGTAATCCTAGCACTCTGGGATGCTGAGGAAGTAGGGTCTCAAATTCAAGCCCACCTGGGCAATTTATAGGAGCCCTGTCTGAAAATAAAGGGCGGGGAGTATAGCTCATTGTGAGGTTCCTAGTGGGAGAAAAAAGGAATAATTTAGGACTGAGGATGCTTCTCAACTCTTAGGACTTACAAAGCGTAGTTGAATTGGATACTGTATGTCGTATACTGTATATATTTTTTCTTCTGTAGAATTGTGTTTATAATCAAGGTTCAAATATAGTTATTTAAAATTACCTACAGGGCTGGGAATTTAGCTCAGCGGCATAGCGCCTGCCTGGCAAGTGCAAGGTCGTGAGTTTGATTCCCGGTACCAGAAAAAAATCCAAAGCAAAAAAACAAAGAGTGGTATAAAATTACCTACAAACTGTACTTTCAGTGCCAGTTTTAAAAATGATATTCAGTATTCTGAAGAGATCAAATTTTAGTCGTGAATTTTGTCTAAATTACTCAAAAGTTCCTGTGTTCGATATCTACATGTAATTACTATAGTCAGCTTGCAAATTTCTATCAAGAAAACAAGAATATAAAATGATTTTTTTTTAAATTGTTTCTCTTGACCATTTTTAATTCTATACCATTTTTATAAAATCTGAGGCTGATGGAACTTTCCATTTGCGTAACTGATTTCGCCAAGTGAACTACTGGAAACATGTAATTTTAACTTGTAATAAATAACTAAAAAAGGGCTGTAAGATTTGAGGCGTTTTTCCCATTGTTCATTGTTGATTTGATAAATTTTCACACTTGGGCAAGTGTGTTAAATCTCTGACACTTGGTTTCTACAGCTGAAAACTAGTTACCATACTAGCTCATACTTACTGAATATGTATTGTGTTGTGGGCATTGTGCTAAGCACATTAATGCATTATTTAATTTATACAGTAATCTTATGAGGTAAATACTACTTTATCTCCATTTCACAGTTGAGTAACCAAAGTGCAGAAAAGTAGGTAACTTGACCCAGATCAAATTAAAAAGACCCAAGGTATGAAAAGGATCAAGGATGATACATATAAAGCACATAGTCAGATTTTGAGTAAGTAATCAGTAAGTCTATATATTATTATTGGTGATGTTATAAAAGGAATCTAAGTACATTCAGGTCCAGCTTGGTTTGTTAATGATCTGTGAGCTACAAATTAAACACTGCTTCAGACATCTGTTCCTCCAAACTCATTCTAGAATGAAATTTCAAGATTATAAACAACTTGAAGATAGGGAACCATGTTTATAATTTTTTTTTTACACTCTGTAGCTCTCACTACAGTATACACTTGAGCAAATAGTATGAATTTAATATGTACTTATTATGAATTTGTCTTGAAAGGATGAATGTGGATATATTCATAAATAGAAATTGCCATTTTCTGAAAAGTATTTCATCTCCCCACGGGGTAATTCTTTTAAGATTTTTTAAGTTGCTTATTAAAGGGTAATTTTAGGCTTTCATTCTAAGAGTCTTTTGTTTTCCCATAGAAGAAGAAAAAAGTAAAAACTTTAGAGAAGGCTGACTTCTCAAGAATTTTTGTGTGGGAGAATTACTGAGACTCAAAAGTCCATAAACTATTTTTCTCCTTTTTATTTTTTGTATATTTTCAACAAGCTGTATGTAGTGAGTAAAAGCCTGCAGTTTTATTCCAGACCAAACTAAGAAAGACAATAAATAATTTTTCTCCATTTTATTTTTCTATGTATTCTCAACGAACTGTTCTTCTAGTGAGTACAAATTTGCAATGTTTTATATCAGGACAAATTCCATTTTATTAAACCTCGAGTTAATAGGATATAATGAAGTCTAAGTTTGGTCCCTAATTGAATACATTTTAATAAAATTGTCTACTTCATTTTGGACTTAGATTACCAGTCTTTCAAAATAACATTTTAAATAAATAATTGTTTTAAAAGATAACACATAGTTTCATTCTGATTTTAAAAGCATAGCTATAAATTATACTCATATACCAATAAAACTTTTTTCATTACAGTGTAATTTTGTGCTATTTTGTCAAATAATCAAGTATTTACATTGGAAACATGACTTCTTTATGAAAAATTTATAATTCCTCTTTCCTATTTTGTTTATAAGTACCAATTAAAAATGAGGAGAAACTGCCCTATGGATGAGAATGAGATATTTTAAATGATGAATTATTTTCTTTCTTGCTTTGAATGTCACTTGTTGCTATAGGCAAACAATTAATTTGCTTAGAACCACTTTTTATACAAAATATTTCAGAACAGTGTTATTTTATTCTACAGTAAAATACATGCTTTGTGATATTGGCTTGGAGTTTACAAGGCTCTTCATATAAAATACCTTGTTTCATCAAATTTCCTTATGGACTATTTAGGTTTTTTTCTAAAGCTGTAAAGGATAGGTATAAACTAGTTGACATTGCTGATTGTTTTCATTGAGTTACACAGCTAAAAAGTACTAGTTTCTCATTTCCTTTCTGAAAGGTTAGTTTAACTTTACCTAGTTAGCTTTTTAATTTTAAATTTTTGACGGACTAATGTGGAAACATTGAAATGGTACCCATTCATGGAGTGCAGTGCAGTGTTTTGATGGATATATACAGTGTGTAACATTTAAATCAAGTTAAACATCTGTCTTCTCAAACATTACTTCTTTTTGGTGAAAACGTTAAAAATCCTTCCTTCTGGTGTTTTGAAGTATGTTATCCATCTCGTAGAATTTGAGGAAAGAATGATGGTCACCTGAGTCTGGTAAGAGTAGTTGGGGAGGAAGAATGGAGAAAAATTAATGAACGGGTACTCAGCTGTAGTTAGGGTAAGTCGTGCTGTGCTGCTGCACAGTAGAGTGACTATAGGCGATGATAATGTACTGTTTATTTTTTAAAGAGAATTACGGAGCTTCCTTCCTTCAATGTATTCTCTTCGGTCTTTTTTTGTGGTAGGAGAGAGTATTTGTATTTTAAAATTGCTTATTGGAAGAAAAGTACATTCTCATATATTTAAAGATATTTCATAATGTGCTCCTTCTAAGAACATAGCCTTTTAAAAATTTGACTTCATCCTGAAAAGTTACTTATAAAAGCTTCCCCTAAGTATAATAAAGACCAAATAGTCGACAGATGAAATTATTGAGATCAGGTCTGACAGTATCAAACATTGGCAAGGACATGAGGACCTAGAGATGTAATTAAAAATCACTTGGAATGTAAAAATCAGCTGAGGTCGTGTGATTTCTTATTATTTATATCATCATTCACTTAATTTGTATCTTGAAACTACTTAGATGGTGTTGAGGTAGTTAATGTTACACTTGAAATATATTGTATTTGCCAAATACTAGACACTCTTATAAAGTCTTAGGAGTTTCCTTACAGTAACTCACTTGATTCTCACACTAGCCCTATGAAGTAGGGCTATTGTTATCCTTATTTAATGTATAAAAAAAGAAATTACATAAATTTAAATTATTCATTCAAAGTAACACAGTCAAACTGGGATGGACAGTACTCAGAACCACTGTACCAAATGATAGGATTGGTTTCCTTTCCTTTTCTTTTTCTTACAAAAAAGAAAAACCTGTTCATGATGGATTAAAATACGTTTAGTATAAGGAAAGATAATACTGCTGAAAGGAAAAATGTCTTCTTTATTTTTATTTCTTATATCCTTTCTTCTTTTTAAGTACTGGGGATTCAAACCAATTCATTTGCGCTGAGCTGCACTCTAAGCTCCTTTGTATTTTCTCTTTTGACACAGAGTCTTGTTAAATCACTAAGTTGCCTAAGACCAAGCATCAGCTTGTGATCCTCCTGCCTCAGTCTCCTAGAGCACTGGGATTATAGCATCTGCCATCAGACCTGTCTCTGCCATTTGTTGTTTTTATTAATCATTGTTACTTCTGTCAATTCACATAATGTGCTAGTCATTTTTCATAGTTAAGTTGATAGTTCAAACATTGTTACTTGGATTTAGTTACACTCTTTCATTAGGATTTCTTTTATGTGTTTGGTAGTGTTTCATCATTTGTCTGTGTGGACTGATTGAACCTTTCTGTGGGAAGTCTTGAAGCTTTGTTTGCAGTTTAGAAGGGTACAGAGGGTAAATGTACTTCACATTTCTGTTTTTGAGAATTGATATATCAATTTAAATAAGCCAAAATATTTTTACAACTTGATCTCTATTGAATTAAATTCAAGGTTTTCTATATTTTAATTCATAAAAAGCAAAAAGGATTACCAGTCTTTGAATACACTTACCAAACAATAAGTTTTCTCTAATGTATAGTTGTGTTTTGGGGCGAAAGTTTAAGGTATTGTTTTGTTAGTAAATCATTCATTTCCCCTGTTTTTATTCTATTTTTTTAGGATTTTGGCCCCTAACAGTAATTATCAAGATATTGAGACCCTCTATAACTTCCTAATCAAGTATCAGGTATGAGAATATTTTAAAATGTCTGTTACATGTCGGCCATAAATAAGTTTTAATATACATGTAGTTGGAGTTCTAAAACATAATGAATGCTTTTTAATTGATATTTACTTTAAATTCTTGAATGCCATAGAAGTTTGCCAGTGACATACTTGCTTTTTCCCCTTTTAAAAAAACAAATTGTATGTATTTAGGGTGTACAACATTTTATATATATATATATATATAAACACTCAAAGTAAATTAACCTGTCATTTTACACGGTACCTTTTTTTTGATGTAGCAAGAGCACCTAAAATCTCCTCTTTTGGCAAAAATCCTAAGTACAACAGTATTGTTAATTGTGGTCTCCATGTTATGCATTAGCTCACTAGACTCGCTTATCTGAAGTTTTCTATCCTTTGACTTCATCTCTCCATTTTTTCCCTGCTCCCTGGCAGTGGCATATTCAGTTTTTTCCCTTGTTCTTTAAGTAAAGAAATAATAAGAGTTCTGAAATGACACACTTCTACTATACAGAGAATTGTTCTGTGAACATCTATTGGCATTTTGGATAGGTCATGTCTTCCTTCTGTAGGGTAATGCAGGATGTTTAACACCTGTGCTTCTTGGGTATTAAACGCCTGTGGCTGTATCAGTCATTGGAGAACAAAAATACTCTACCACCCTACTCAACTCACATACCCAGAATGGCCCCCAGAGAGGAAGAGCCACCTCTGGTTGAGAACCACTGATTCCTGGAAAGGCAGGCTGTAATTTAGTTTCCTCTCTAGCAGCAACATTGGCACTGGAGTTAGAGCTGGTGTGAAGCTACAGCATGTTTTGTAAATTAATGTGTATGCCTTCCCAGTCATTGCTGACCTAAGGAAAACACTCTGTTTTTCGCTTCCTGTTGGCCTAAAAGTCTTCGCCTGTTTTCTGTATTTTTCTCCACAGTTTTGTGTGTGTTTAAAACACTCTAAATGAAGGTGTGTGACACATACTCAATCTCACTTTATCTGTTTTTTTTTTGAGATAGGGTCTCACTTTGTAGTTTAGGCTGGCCTTAAACTCATTATATTGCCCAGGCTGATGATGCTTCTGCCTCAGCCTCCAGAGTGTTGGGATTACAGGCATGTGTGCTACCATGCCCAGCTTAGTCTTAACATTTTATGCAGTCAAACTTCAAATATACTCCTTTTATTCCTAGTTAGCTCTTCATTTTTCTGATGTGTCATATCTTCAGTCAAGAACCCAGTGATTAAGAATCCAGAAACTGAGGTCAAACCACCTGTGTCCCAATCTTTGTTCTTCTGCTTATTAACTGTATGTTTTAGGAAGACTGAAGACTCCTTGTCTCAGATTTTTCCTCCGTGAAAAAGGAAAAACAACAATAGATAAATTATAGATATTCTGTGAAGACTAAGCAATGTATGTAAAGTTTCCAACAGAGCCAAGCATATAGTAACTCTTCAATAATGGTTACCTGTTTCTATTTAAGCAAAGTTTTTATTTAAGCAAAATGGTATTCACATGTACTTTTTAAAAAATCAGGTTTAACACTTTCTGACCATATTATGTGATTCTTGAGAGTATGTCCTTTTTTGAGATGATATATATTTCATACTTCCTGAATTTTGAGACACTAAACCTAACAATAAAGATATATTTTTGGAAATAAATTTATTTATTTATTTATAGTTTTAAGATCACATATTCTGGAAAATTTCTAAGGATAAGTTGATTTTTTTGAGTTTAGTATTTCCTGTTGCTAAGCATATTGGGAGAAAATACCTAATTCAGTCAGTATTTATAAGAATATGTAGATGTGATTCTCAGATTTTAAAAATCATTTATTTCCCCTAGCAGAATGTCTTTCCTTGTACAATTACTACCGAGATATTTGTCACATAAAAAGTGATAAAACCATCTACATCTTTTAAGAAGTTTGAATATTTTTATACTTTGCCTTTTGTTCTTGAATTTTTATTATAAGTAATTTAACTATTTCTAATATATGGCTTTCATTGTAAATACCACAACTAAAAAAGATAGTAATACCAGTTCCACAATCCATTTTATAGTCACAAGTCTATTGTTTACTGACAAAAGAAACTTTCAGCAACACTTGTTTCTTGGAAATTAAAATTGTACATTTAAGCAGGGAGATAGATGATATTTAGCAGTAGAATTTAAAAGGACCTGATACGAGTAAGAAAAGCTGTCTTAATAGTCAAAATTAATGACTCTGATGAAACTAAATATTTCAGGCTAATCTGTCATGAATTTTTGTGCCTCGCTTCTTTATTAGTAAATTAACCATTAACCGTCTGCTTTGTAAATCATCTTCTATAACTTGGAGCCATATCACCTTTATATGCCAGCTGTGTTCAGGGATAAATATCTTAAGTAAATGTAAATGATTGCTTTTAAAACTAAAGATAAAGCTAAATACTTTTAAAGAAAAAATCTATTAAAAACTTGAAATATTTTGTATTCCTAATCAGGATCAAATTCAATTATTCAGCTGCCTTTTGCCAGTGGCTCGCGGAGAACAGACTGTTCTCAGTTACCTTTGAGCAGATATCCATGTTGTCTTGACATTTAATAGCCTGAGTTTGGGTACATTGAGGGCCTGGCATGTAGGGCAATGATAAAAATATCAAAAACTCTTAGGATAAGGGCAGAACATGTAAAAAAGTAGAGGTTAGACTTGGTACTTTAACGTTAAATGTATATTTTTAAACTAAAATATTAATAAAATTCTAAACTACATAAAATTGATACCTTATATCAATTTCATAAATCATTGAATAAATATTAAATATGATTTATATTATTAAATAACTGTAACATATAATATACACTTTAAGAAAATATTAGGATTATGTTCATTTAAAACATTTTTTGTGTGTATATATGAGCGTACATACCCACCTATATGTATATGTACACACGCACTTCTTTTGTATGGTACTGAAAATTGAACTCAGGGCCTCATGAATGCTAGACACGCTGAGCCATTCCCCCTTCCTAAAATATACTTAAAAACTATGGACGCTTAACTTTCAGTAAATGAAACATTTTCTTCACATACATGGTATACTTCATGTGAAAACATTGAAGAAGGTCATGGAATTTTTGCAAATAAGCAGTATTCTGAACTCTCCAGAAGACTTGCATTTTTAGAGTTAATTAAATCAGAATAGGTATTTTCTTCACCAAAATGTCAGGCCATCTAGTAATATTTCAACCAATTAAAAAAGTAAATCAAATAGAAAATAGTCTTTGAGTTTCCTTCCACTAGTTGAAAATTTCAAAAAATTTAGGCAGTGCTATGCTATTTGTTATCTAATTAAAAAGAATTTTTCTTCTCTTAATTTCTTCTCTAATTTCGTTGGACATAAATAGAATATAGTCTACATCAGTAGTATGATGAAGGACTTTTATATTCATGATTTTATTAATTATGTCTCTGAATTATACTTATTAATTTAAACATTAAGTATGCAGACCTTAATAATTAGAAAAAAATTTTTAGGAAATGTCTGCTAGTCACCTTTTTTTTCTAAATTAGATAGACCTTTACAGTATAGTCGCATTATGCTTTTTTTCTGTCAATTTGATCTCCAAAGTGATTATCTGCTTTGTTCAGATTCTTACAAATCCAGACCATCTCACTTCTACTTTGAAATGATGAGACCAATATTTTTACACTTAGCTCAGTGTTAGCATTATGGTCAGTGAATGTTTTAGTCCTTTTTATGGTAATACCTGAAACTTAAGATTCTGCTCCTTCAGAATAGGGGCTATTTTAATATAACTCACGCTTATTACTCACTAGATTTAAAATATCTTAATATCTATATTTTGGTTCTTTTCAGGTAAATAAACATGTTGAATTTACTGCCCAGGAACTCTATGATTGTGTTTCTCAGACTGAGTATCGGTGAGTCATACCTGCATGCAGATACATCACTGTAATGAGCTTTTACCACAGTCAGCACCACTTGGTGGTGGTAAAGAGTTCTTTTTGTTTTTTTATTACATTGTGATTTTTTTAAAACCTTTGTTAGTATGAAATATTTAATATATGCAAAAAAGACTGTGTATCAGCTATAAGGTTTAAAGTGGTTTTTAAACTTTTGACCTTAAGACTTCAAAGAAAATCATATATATAATAAAATACTAAACTACTTAAAATTATGATTGATATATATATATATTTTTTTGTTTTGATACTGAAAGTTGATCCCAGGGCCTTTGTTCTGAGCCATATATCCCTAGCCTTTACCCTGCCCACACCACTTGTTTGGAGACAGGGTCTCACTAAATTGCCCAGGCTGTTTGAACTTGTGATCCTCCTGCCTGTCGGTCTCCCAGAGTAATGGTATTATAGGTGTGTACCACCATGTTTCGTTTCATTATATTTTAAAAGTTATTACAGACCCCAAAGAGCTTTTCTTTTTGTGGGTTATAGTTATGTTTACTGTATTAAAACTTAGAATTGAGAACTTAATAATGTTTGGTTTATTTAAATGTAACAATGCTACCTGTTAAATAGCATTATTATGGAAATAATTTTATATGAAATATACTGTAAAAGTGGCATTTTATAATTTTATAAATGTCTTAATGTCTAAATAAAAGACAGCTGAATTCTCCTTTATATTAGTGTGTTACAGTAATCAAATGTCATTTTGCTAGAAAAGTATTCCTCACTTTTTGGAGAACAAAAGACAAAAAATACCTTAGTTTTAAACTAGCCGTGATCTTTTCGAAGTTACAGACCCATAGTTTTACTAAATAATTAGGTACAACAAAAATGATACATTTTGCCTGTTTTTGAACTTAATGACATACTGTATACTTTCTTTAAAATAATTTATTTATAGCATTCATATATAACAAAAATACTGTAAATCTGGTTTTTATATACACATGGTATAGTGTGAAGTCCTTCCTTTGGTCTGAATGTTTGTGTTTTCCCAAAATTCATACACTGAAACTTAATCCCTAATGTGACAGTGTTAGAACATGGGGCTTTGGAGAATGGGCTTTAGTATCTTTATGAAATAGATCTCAGAGTGTTACCTAGCCTGTCTGCCATGTGAGAACACATACATTGTACTATATTTGAGGAAGAGGGCCCTCATCCGACACTGGATTTATCAGCACATTCGTCTAGAATTTCCCAGCTCTAGAACTGTGAGAAATAAATATCTGTGGTTTATAAGCTACTCAATCTATTTTATTAAAACTCCCTGAAAAAATGAGAGTCTTTCAATTCTAGGCCCAGGTCTTGAGAAAAAAATTACTTTGTACCAAAAACCTGTTTAACTCGTTAGTGTTCCTCTCCAGCCCCTCCCTCTCATGTTTTGTTCTAATTCGGCATTGAAATTCATCCATGCATCTAGTACTAGTTGGCTTACAATCAATTTTTTGTCACAAGGCATAATGCATCCCTAAACCTGACCACACTACATTTTATGCAGTCATGCAGTAAAAGCCACAGAGCTATGGGAAAAATGGGGTTAGGGGGACAACACAAAAAATTTTATCAGGGACATGTTTCTTTGACAGAAACACTAATAAAAGTAGTATAGTTTTATACATGTTAAATTGCTAAGAAATACATAAATGCTATAATTAATCTTGCATTTTACCTGCTGCATAATACGCCATTGTATCACTAATCCATAATACATTTACTTCTTACAACTGTGTGGCAACATAATTTTATAAGCAAGCCTAGTGACAAAGTTAATTATCAAAATGCTTATATTGTTAAAACTCCAGACGGATCAGTGCATTTGATAATATTGAAGAAACTAGGATTGATAAGCATATATAAATATTATAAAACATTTTATTTGAAGTAAAATCTGAAGTCAGTGGGCTGTTCCAATCTATTATAATTGGGGGAAAAATGATTTCTAACACAGTATTCAGGCTATCAGTGAATAAATTTTATTTTTATTTGTAGATCTTTACTGATAACATGGAGGCCATAGCCTCTGACTAGGTTTAGGCAGATACCTAGAATTATTTTGACTTCAGCTTACTTTTTGAATAGTTGAAAGTTTCTTTGTTTGGTTTGGTATTTTGAGGAGGGGTCAAGTTGAGTGTTCAAAGTTAAAATACGATTTGAACTATAACACCAATTAATAAACTCTCACTTACATCCAAATGGATGATACTGAAGATAAAGCAAATATATTTAATGTATTGAAACACATTTCAATGTATTGAAAGATGGAAGTTGCTACTCAGTAAGCTTTTGGTTAATAGTATTTGGATTTGCTACTCCTTTTAAAAAACTTTGTCAATTTTTAAAGTGAACAATACCTTCTATATTAAACTGTGGTACCTTCAAATAGGCTGCCAAAAGCGAGATAAATTTTGGGGGCTCATTGATTCATGTAAGACACAAGGCCACGTGTAGTAGAAGAAAGGTGGTGCCCTTTCCTTTTGACCTAGATGAAAACACAAGAAGGTCTTAACATATGTGTAGAAGGATCCCTGTGGGAATGTTAAGGAAAACAAGTATGTAAGTTACATGAAATGGCTAATCGTTGTTTTTGAGTTTTTGAAGTGTTAGTTGTGACAGAGGTGGTTGTGTACCACAACACAGTTTTGCAGTGGGGAGGTGTGAGAAATATATCTGTGCCTCTCCTGGTTCCTGAGACAGAGCTCCAAAAACCCTTGTAGACAGGGTTTGTAGGAGAATCTCTTGTTCTGAGGTTTGGTCTTTGTTGCAGTTTGTGTCTGGATGATCCCCCATAGCCTCATGCAGTCATGGGGCGGGCTTCTAGAGTTTATGATTGCTTCTTGACCCAATGTTGGAATTATGGATGTGAGTGGTACACCTGCCCTGGGGTGGGTAGTTTGCATACAGTGGAACGGAGGGAAAAAGGCTGCTTGCTGCCACTCCTCCCTTTTTGCTCTTGCTGCTTTTGCGGTTTTCCGCCACCATGAACTAACTGTTGCCCTCTGCCATGTGCCACTCTGCCTTGGAACCTGCAGGTGATGGATGAAACCGCTACAAACTGTGAGCTAAATAAACCCTTCCTTTCCTTATTCTGGCTGTTGGGTATTTTGTCTCAGCAATGAGAGAAAAGTAACTGAGACAGTCTTTAACCTTCATTTGCTTTCTGATTGCTCATTGCTAATGTATAGAAATAGAACTCTGTGTGTGTTGATCTGTTTCTTCAAAGAACTCAACATTACTTCAATGTCCTTGGACTATCCTGGGTTTTTAGAAGCATCTTTTGTTTAATGAAGTAACTCATTGGTGGGCTCCTGGAGAAAGACTGGTGATTGAGTTAATAATTGATCGTGTGTGTGTGTTATTGAGGTCTGTCTAAAAATCCTGAAACTTTCAGGTTTAGAGAGCTTCTGAGTTGCTGAATACATGGAGGTATCCTGAGGTCCCTGGAGGGTAGCTCACCCTGAAAGGATGTAAGTTTTATGCCCCTTCTCACATACTTTGCTGTAGGTAGCTCTTCATTTGGCTGTTTACCTGTGTACTTGGTCATCTCATTTATAATAAATGAGTAAACATAAGTAAAGTGTTTCCTTGGGTTCTTTGCGTTGTCCTAGCAAATTAATGAAATGCAAGAAAAGCGGTCATTAGGAACCCTGATTTGTAGGTGTCAAACTGGTACTTGGAACTAGTGTATGAAGTAAAAAAAAAAAAAAAAAAGTCTTGTGGAATTGAGCTCTCACTTTATGGGAGTGGATTATAATCAGAATTGGATTGAATTATAAGGACCCTCAGTTGATGTCCACTGGAGAACTGCTTGGTGTGTGGGCATTCTCCCTGTTCCTTGTCAGTCTGATATCCGAGGTGAGGGATTATGTCTGGGCTTTGAATTCTATTCCATTGGTCTGACTGATTTATGCTAATATCAGCTTGGATAAAGTTGCTTTGTAGTAAGTTTTGAAATTGGGAAATGGAGTTCCAGTAACATTGCTTTTCTTCTTCAAAATGTGGGATGTCCTGCAATTCTATATGAATTTTAGGATTAGTTTTTCTATTTCTGTGGGAATAGCTTATTGAGATTTTTTTTTTTTTTTGGTTTTTCTCCGGTACCGGGAACCGAACTCACGA